AACTGAGACATGTATAGTTCATACCGCACGCTCGGGGACAAGCCTCTGCTGCTCAAAGTGCGTGCGCTAAAGTACGTCTTTTCATTTCGATGTTTTTAGCATCGCCTGATTTTATGAATGTAGGTCATGCAACTGGCAAGTCAGATTTTCTTGCCGCACACCTGCAGCACTCCTTTGCCGTTCTCTGAAATTCACATAATCACTTGACTTGATTCCACAGTCTCGTCACCTACCACCTCTCACGGCTGCAATGGCAAGTTTCCAAGAAAGAACTGGCACGAAGACGGCTTTGCGAGCGTTCATAGGCTCTATCGACATTGCTGAACACATAAGTTGGCCACCGCTCAGGACAGTGGGTCTCAACAACGTCTAGGATCTGATGACTGTATTACTATTTCGACGTCGAGATGTCAACCGATGGATCTATCGTCCTTGGTTTGTTGGAGGTATGTCATAGCTGACATAACTTGGATGAGCTGAAGACTCATTATCAATGACTTTCAGGCTTTCCTATCTTTGCGTACGCAATAGCTCGTATCGATCTCGAGCCGTTTATCTACACTTCTGGAATCATTTGGGTCGAAGCGACCGAGCGCAGGCTTATAAAGAATATCATGATGACCATAAGTGACGATTGAACAGCCTATAAACTATTATTCTTGAAGACCCTAAGGGCAGGTACCAACGGTTGTTTGAAATGGTGATGATCTGGTCAATTACATATTATATGATCAAGGCTTACACGGCCTGAGCAGGTTATTCCAGTCACAAAACAGCTTTAGCGCTAATCGCCATAGAGGATTGATACATGCCTGTGCATTGTGATTAAGGATGATGATGGATGTGAAACCTATAGGAGAGTTCCTGAGGTAGATACACAGGCAACCGGTGTAACGAGGACCCTCTAATGAGGTCTCTGGGAAGAGCATGAGAAAAGCGTAGCGGCGTCGAACCAGCCAGACGTGACGTAACTGTGATCTCAGTAAGCGGGCAAACCAGGCCAACTTTGCGGGTTCGCTTTCTGACCATTCACCCTGAAGGTTACGACGAAGCGTACCGGAACATCAATGCTTGTCGGGCACAAGCACCGGCGCCGTTTGAGACCACTTGTAGAGACCGGCCTTCCTTCTGTAACGAGCCCATCAAGTGCTTATGCGGTAGTGTAGCGCTACTGTAGCTGTTACTCAGGAACGGAACCTTCAGATGGGATGACTTTTATCACGGGAACAGCGATGGATGTACGCTGTTGTTTGGCTGTGTCTGCATATAAAAGGACTGGTAGGACCTGGGTGAGGGATCATTCATCCATCTTCCAATACTTAGGCCTAAGGCTTGAAGCCCTCTGGTGATAACTTTCGTTCTGTAAACTCCGCCTTCCTGTATTATCCAGGTATTTTTTTTTTTTCGACACAGATCTTATTCCTCGTGCTCACATTTCCGTCACAGTATGCTTCTCGAATTCCGTAGCCGCGGGCATACGATACACCACAGAGCAGCAGACGTTGACGCCATGCCACCACACCCCGTGCTCAGACCTGCACCTTCTAGCCCAACGATATCTGAACTCGCGTTAGACCCAAACTCATTCCAGAGGATGTCCTCACCGACTTTTTCGTCGGACTCGCCACAGTCATCTGCGAAGTCTTTGGCGGACATTGTCCTCGACAACGACATCTATGATGCCATTTTGGCATCGAGCATGAAACATGTCAAGCTTTCCACGGACTCTGATGCATTCATGCATCCTCCTTCGAGCGCGTTGTTGGCGCCGCCGAACACTCCTGCTGTTGCGTTGGAAAGGAAGAATTGATTGCAACAATTTTGGTACAGTGGGTGCAATGAGCGAACTAGAATTTTAGTATCAAACTGTTTACTAGGACTGTATTATACTTACCTTGTATGTAATGCTTGCTTGAGCTCGACTGTATAGTACCGTTTTGGCAATTTCTGTACAAAATCGTCATGATGAAAATCGGAAGCAATCGGACAAGTGCTTTCGATGCGTCATCAATGCGTCATTACTGGTTGAACATGCTTTGGCATCCCGTCTTCACTTCCTTCCATGAACTCACCATCGCCGTCGTCGCGCTCCCTCGTCTCTCCTCCTGTTGACTCTCAAGAATGCTCGCCATTATGCTTCTGCGAAGATTCAAGAAGACGCGGAAGGCAACTGTTGGTTGACGAGAATTGTCGTAGTTGACGTTGGCTGTCTGGACAGCATTCAAGTACGTGTCAGTAAATCTTGAAGTTCGAATATTTTACTCTCATGATAAACACAGGTGTGATATCTATGTGTAGCCCCGTCGAGGCCTTGATGTGGCGTCTGCTGTCTGTCACTGAGGAAGGGCGGCGGGCCTCTTCGACCTGGATATATGCGCCTTAACCTTGCTCCGAGTTGACTATATGCGCATTAGACGGGGCTATGGTGCTCTACATGGCCCGTTGGTGGAAGCACCGCTGTCCAACGTAGCACGCGGGGATAAACAACGACCTCATCGTCCGAGGGCTGTCCGTAGCGTGTAGCAGGATCGCGAGACTTTTTTTCCTCTCTGAATTCTTTGAAGAGTTTCTCGATCGCTGAAAACGATATCTGTGAAAGGCTTAGTCAAAGAAGACTGAGGCTAAGTCGGCTTCACCATTTGCGGGGCCAAGATTCTGCGCTATGTGGCTCAAGTGTCGTGGGTTGTGGGAGTAGAGAGGAAGATTCTACCCTCCTCTCCGATATGTCTGGTGCTGTCTTCTTTACGCCACGCCGAAAGTGGCGAGTCGCTTGGAGATCTTGGACGTTGACATGAGGACGACGAGTACTGGGGTCTCCCGTGCTCGACGAGTTCGAGTAAGGTAGTGATGAGGGTATGTTGTAATTTTATACGTTCCGTTCATTTTTTTCATTTTATGAGACGCTTAGCGCCACATGTGCTTTGAGCTTCCAGATAACCTGAACATAGTGGTCGTAATCGAGCAGGATATGCAGAGCCGTCGCAAGTTGACAGGCGTTGTTCTCATCGAAAACAGCGTGCGTTCCCAAGTTGACAAGAATCGTCGGTCCGCTGTCAAGCCAATTGGTGAGTTCCGGGTCTCTCTCCTTCACTGCGGCGGCTGGAACAAGGATGGGACCGCACAGCGTTACGTTGTCCGGAATGACACAAGGGAAGTCTGTTTTTGGTGTGGCGGGACAAAGATAATGTGCGTCGGCAATGTATGGTTCAAACATGGGAATGGTGTTATTGAGACCGAGCTTCTGACGGTATTGAACGAGTTCCTGTATTTTGGGGGAAGAGAACATGAAGTAGACCATGGCGCAGGTGAGAAAAGCATTCTTCGGGATGTGGTACCATGCCATGGGGTACGGAATACCGGACGACATGACAGGATACTTCCAGAATATCGAACCGTACGGCTGGATGCGGCCAATGATGTCCTGTATGTCAAAGCTACCTGTTAGAGCACGGACTGATATCAAATGAAGGCGAGTCTTACCTTGGGAGCATTTGGTGTCATGATAATGAACTTCAGATTCAAGAAACGACATGCGTCGATAGCTTGACTCAAGAAGTATTCAATCACGATAGAATGTGCGTTCAGGTCCTGGATGATCTCAACGCAGCTGTCGTAAAGTTCCATGTACTCTGGGCCAGACCATTCGGCGACATAATACGGTAAACGCCTAAAACTCCGGAGAGCGCCAGAGAGACTAGGTGCGTGAGTGGGAGTGTTGGTTCCGATTCTGCGTATACGTGCCTCTTTTAGGGATATCCCCCTGAGAGGATGGAAGTAGATTCTTGCAGGGCTACCTGTTGCCTGAACACGGTCCTGCAGCTCCTTGATGCGAGGGGAGAGGACTTCCAAAATCAACATCAGCGAACGATAAATATCGAGCGAACGAAGCCAAGTTACCGGGAAAAGACGCAATGTGTACTTCGACGTTTGGGCGAAGACAAAGTTCGTGTGCGACGGAGAGAATGATATTGGCTTGCCCGTACTCGCTGTTCGTGAAGAACAAATATTTTCTGGGGGTTGAGGTCGTAAGCATGGTAAGCAGGACTGAATGCACAAAAGAGTGGGGATTTGCTGGCTCGCCATTTTTGGTCAGTGCAATTTATTGCGGACATTTCTGATAGATTGTATGCAAGTCGGACGTCACTGAGGAGATTCGAGCCTGACCTTACCTGCGCAGCTCCTGTGAGAGGAGAATCTTCCAAATCAAGGCCCAGGCGCTCAAAAGTCGCATGATGCTCGTGAAGCGACGATGCGGGCATCGGCGAAATCACGTCAATCTAAATGCACACTCCTCGCTCTCCAAATTTTTGTATTTGGGCTGTCTTCAATACGGCCCAACTACGGCCGTTTGAGGAAATGCGCGATTGCTCGATCGGCGTTGTACCTGCAAGAGCACACCTGCAAGTTCATTAGCAACACCGCTAAGATATGAGCATGGACGCCGAATAATTTTTATACCCTGTTCTGAGCCTAAATGTACATGTCTACATCGAGACTGAGGACTGCCAAGGAAGAAAAGATGCCAGCACTTGGTGCCCTAAAAATGTTTGGTTGTCAGCCTCGACAGATCAGGAACTTGCTCAATGGGGGAAAGGTAAAGTGGGCACAACATCTGAAGATATGGAGGAAAATATCAACAACAGCTGCAGGAATAGGCAGAAAGAAGAAGCCCGATGTTCAGTCCGAGTTTCCACTACCTATCTGTGCCTCGAAACCTTTCGTATAAGCTACAAGAAGCAAGAAGCAAGGATATTTGCTTACAGGCACCAGATATTTCCTCCACCTCAGACTGTGCTGCTAACTTTTGTACGAAGAACTTGCAGCTGGGGTTTTCTAAATGCGGATGCGAAAGAATGGAAATGAAGGTGATCAAAGGTGACCGATCGCTTGCGATGAAGGCCCATATCAAGCTTTAGTGGCTTTACCAACCTTCTGAGCAGTTTGCTGTCCATCCGCTCATCCCTTTCATACCCATTGCCATTATAAACATCTATAAATGCGGTGGGATGGCCGAGCGGTCTAAGGCGCCAGACTAAGGCCGATCGATCGATCAGTCGATCGTAGGATCCGATCACCTTGTGATCATGCTATATCTGGTCCGAAAGGGCGTGGGTTCGAATCCCACTCCCATCAGCTTTTTCCTAGACAACAACTTTTTGGTCATTTTTTGTACGCACTAGCAGGCCATAGTCTCAAGTCACTTCGAGTCTGTACCCATTCCGATGGGACGTAAGTCTAGGTAATCACGAGCAATTCCTTATCTCTAAGGTATCCTTCTCCTCCTACTACATTTAGTGCCACTCGAAGGGCTGAAGACCTCTGATTCCTAGCTTTTGACTCCTGCCGAAGGGACTGCTATTTCGTGCATCAGTTAGTTGTCAGCCTCCAAGTCACTTTCCTCCCTGTCCCATTTGTTGCTAAAATTAAGGCATTGTCACGCAGATAACGACCAACTTCATTCAAGTTATACTCTCACCGGCGAAAAGTATTCTGATATAGCGACAATAGCTTGTATGAAGGTTATGAGACATAGCCTCTGAAGCCACGACTAGCAACCACTACCGTGTAATGCTTTTAATACTCCTCGTTGGGGAAAATGCTCGTATATTAAAATATGGTCATAATGTCGTGGCCTAGCAATTAACAAACTTTAGGTGCCTACAGAAAAGGGAAGAAATGTGAATAGCGGTAATGTAGAAGTGTCGTCAACATCAATCACAGCGCAGTCATCGTAAAATTTCTATCCGATCCACCAAGGTTCCCTGCGAATGTGCAAAACCACGCAAGCCATCACCTACACCCGTGTTCACATCCATCATAGGCGACACGTATTCCGCTTGCTTCGCGTGAGCCCAATGCACGTAACGCGGATGTCTGGTGACCACCCTACGCCGAGGACCGGAGTGATAGCGCAAGAAGTAGTCTCGAAATAACTCGAGGTTGAGCTTGTTGGCGAGCTGTTTCCATCCATCATATCGAAAGCGTTCTTCCAGAATATCATCGATATCCTCAGAAAGAGGATCGAATTCGAATAGGGGGACGTCGAGCGCGTCAGGTGCGACGGGGAGAGAGGTGTCGAATATGGAATCATCATCATACGTGTGAAACGAAGTCAGGATGGGAGACGTGTCGGGGGTGTAGTACGTGGTATCGTTAGAAGAGACGGAGGAGCGTGCATCGAACAAATCTTCGCTGTCTGTGACGTCGGTCATAATTTCGTCGTCGTGAAAAGGAGTGGAGGGCTCTCCGGAGAGCGATAAAGAGTCGGAAGAAGGAGGTAGGGTCGTGAAATTGTCGCAAATAGCATTAAGCACCTCCATGGTCTTCTTGAGACGCTGGAGATTCAGCTCCAGAATCTGCAAAGTCAGACGTGAGCTAAGGGTCGACGTTTAAATTCCAGAATGTAGGCACCATTATCTCCCGTACACGGGGAACACGAGATATCTGCACGTCTTCTAGATATCGGAAGCGGCTGTAGGTCGAGTTCATGATCACGGTCAACGCGATGATAAAAGAAATAGACGAGGAATCAAGCAAGCTTGGGATGAGAGAGGAGGAAAGGAAAGATGACACTTTCGCTGCGGTCCCCTGTATATGTATGATGGAAAATAAAGAAACCGCATTAAGCAGAGTTTCTTTGTACTATCTTACTTTGTGTTGCTGATTTGGGAATCCCCATCCCCATCCGTATGTCCATCTGCAGAAGAATTTGAAACTGCCCGCCTTTGAGTCTGTTGCCAAGAATTGCCGAACATTGCGCTGCACGATGCTGTCGTGATACAAAGGCGGCGTGCCGCACCATCTTGATAGTTACAATCTAACATAAACACATCAATTATACGCAATAATACGTTCGCATATGGTAAGCGTGTCAAGACCTAAATGAACCTCAAAATTGGTGCCAGTGTACAGGATATTTTTACCTTCTAATAAAACATGCATAAGAGATGAAAAATGCATATTAAGGATGCCAAACGTCCATATAAGTAGTCCTGAAAGTTTTATGATGATTCCGAGTCCGAAGTCCCAGGAGTAAAATGTGTGACGCAACATGGTACAAGGATGGTGACGATGAATGAACAGCATAGTGTTGTGGTCGGTAAGTCAGGGAGTGGGTTCTGGGTCCGGATTAAACGGCATGGAATCTTCTTCCTCTTCTTCCTCGAAGATCGGAGAGTCGATTTCCTCATCATCTGGGTCGGCCTCTACATCTGGGTCGGCTTCGTCGAAGATGGCATGGAACTGAAATGATATCAATTTTTTATCAGTGACGAAGAACAGCAGCTGATGAAAAGGTATCACATGTGTAATGAGCGCTTTGACGAGTTTATTGGTATGACCCATGTTAGCCAGAAGCATGGTGAAGTCGTTTTTTGGAGGGCGTAGCAGATTGGGGCTGAAAACGATGGACAGTGCTTCTGCCGTCATTTGGTTATACTCTTCAAAATCAGTGACTCTGTACGGGCGAATGAGTAACAGAGAATACATAAAGAATCGCAATACACACTTGTCGAGGTGCTCTGAAACGCGTTTTAGAAGGTCAAAGTTTGCTTGCGGCAAGCCCTGAACGATGCGCTGTATCGCTGAGAGCCGAGCATCCAGATCTTCGAGCTCTGTACGTGAATATTATTAAGGTGGCAAGACAAAGTAATGTGCGAAAACGCACTTGTCGCCTCAATGATCTCGAAGTAGGACGAAGCAGGAAAGACCGGCTCCGGAAGCAACCGAAACCAGGACTTCACAAGGTCACACACAGCATGTATATCCGTCGAACTTGTAATCGGACTTTGGCCTACGAAAAAAAAAGATTCAAACAACGTTGTATTTTTGAAGTAGTTTTTCTACCTCGATTATAAGCGTCTCGGAGACTGTTGATCTCAGATGTAGCACCAGCAATGCGATCTGGGCAATATAGTCAGTACGGAACGAGTACTGCATTCTCATGATGCTCACAAATGCCAACTTCAGTCAGCCCACGGCTTTCGATCTCTGAGAGACATTGCTCGATGACTTTGGGCAGAGCGCCATAGGGAACGTCTCCTCCTTGGGCTTCTCGCTCTAGTAGGATTTGGGGGTCGACGCCAAAGACTATCATAAGATGTAAGGAAGGGTAATAGAATAGGCACGGATATCGACTTACCAGCATTAGGGTCTCTTGACGGTGCTGAAGATCCTGCCCTGAGATCGGACAATTCGGGCCTGGGCGAACTGCCGATATACGTAAGTCGACGTTTAGCCGCCATTTTCGTCAGCCGGTTGATTGTCTCCAACCACTTGTTCATATCCCGCCTGTTCATCGCCTGCAGCAGATAATGGCCTCCGTCTTCAGTATTGACCTGGAACAGATACGAGCGCTCGTTATTGATGATCTGGACTACACGAGCATCGACCAAGCTGAGCACTAAAGCCGGCTTCCCAGTGGGGGTGAAGTCGAGCTCAGAGACTGTGCGTTTCAATTCGGGACCATGCGTAGGTTCACTGCCAAAGGCACTGGAGATTGGTCGCATGAAGTGCAAAAACGCAGACATGCTTTTCTTGTTGCGATGCTGTTTCGTCGGAGTGCCGGGTCGCTTTCGTGGTCGCATGGCTTTATTAAGCATGTCTTCGCGCTTCTCATTCCTTGACTGCTCGAGAAGCTTCTCCTTTTGAAGCCTACTGCGCCAATTGCGATCACGTCTGGCCTTATCCATCTGGACCAGTACTATGCGCTGAAATGGACGAGACAGCCTCCTAGTCGACGGCGGAACGTTTACGTTCCCATGTAGACCTTCGCGTTGGCCTTCCTCTCTTATCCCCCGATGATCAAATTGCAGGGTCATGACTTCGCGTTCAATGTTATTCAAACGTTCAAAGCCGCGACGCGCTATATCGCCACGTTGCCGGGAAGAGTGAAGTGGCGGTGTGTTGGCAATCAGATTGCACAAGTGCCTGAATGACAAAAATCAAGGACCTGCCTCGCTGTGGGTAAAATGACTCACCTGCGTTTATCAAAGTTGATGAGGGTCTGGCCGTCTTGGCTTGGCTCTACTACATCAGGTGTCGATATAACGTCAAGAAGCCGTTCTAGGACCCAGCCCATATCAACTGTTAACGCATCCTTTGATCCTACAGACTGGCTAGATGACCGTGACAGTAGCGATGACAGAGAATCGCATTGCGTGCTGCGGCTTGCTGCCACGTTTTGCCAGGCCCTGTAGTGCATTCGACTCTCAACGCTCATTACTGCAGCAGACACCACGGCTTCAACGAATGAACGAACACAAGGTTGATCAATTAGCCTCGATTTCGTACTCCTTTCTGTATTCCGTATACGGCTGATTTCAATGGTCCGGAGCAGCAGCTCCATACGGGCTTGCCGAGCTTGTAGTCCCAATCGTGGCGCCACAATCTTTGATATCAGCCATTTGCGTAAGATGGCGTACGCCCTGATACAACTGCGAACGCCGGGAGGGAGAAGTCGATACAAGGAATCTTGACCAAGTTCCGAGATCAGAAGTGAAGGTTCGACGTCTTGGATGTGAGAATAAATTGTCTGAATTTCAATACTATCTTCGGCGGTGGGGCCTTCTTTGGACGGAAACCAGCCCGTTCGGTCAGCGCTTTGAACTTCGAGTAAGTCAGACGTGATGTAAAGATCCTATTACGGACCCATTTTCAGCGTCAGAAACGAAACATCAGAGAAATATATACCTCTTCCGTAACATTGCTAAACGTCGCACGGGCCATGCCGTCAAGGATGTCTACAAGCTCCTCAGCATTTATTCGATCAATATCAGGGGTTTCCCTAGCGCTCATGTTCCGCACACGGACATTGCTTGGCGATGGGATGATAGTCGATGATGAGGAAGTCCGTGAAGAAGGGCGCATCGACTGACTTCGGAAGTTACGGCGAAGAGACTGCCTCATCTCACGTAATGACGACATGGACTGCTTTAGACTAGCCTCTCCTTCAAGGTCCGCGGGAACACGAAAAACGTGATCATCAGGACTGTCCAAAAAAGACTGCAGGCTTTGCAGCAACTGCGAGTCATCCAAAACATCCTGGGCGCCACCTCCCCCGGTGACCCACTCCAACATTGTCTCGAGTACCTCTGCACGAACATTCGCTTTTGATAAATATTCAGATAATCGTG